TGAAGAAAAGTGTGACAAAGACATGCACACAGCCTTCAGATCACTTCTTGGCAGCATAAACTGGTTACAATCCAGAACACAATTCCAAGCATGCTACCAATTCTCGAGGTCAGCATCAGCATCAGCAGGACCTACAATAGGTGATTGCAAGGCCCTGAACAAGCTGTGCAAACAAATCGTGACTGACCCTATGGAGTTACGTTTTTGGCCACTTGAAGGTAGTCCACGTTTAATTGCTATGCCAGATGCCGCATTCAGGAACAACAGTGACAAATCCTCTCAACGTGCTATGGTTATTTTATGGGTGAGCAAAGGAAGGCAAAACAGAAGAACACTAAAGGCTCACTTATTTTCTTTGAATCCTCTAAGATCAAGAGAACAACCCTGTCCACAACTGTTGCAGAGTTGTATGCATTTATGAAGTGTTATGGCACTTGCCAAATGCTTAGAGGCTTGATCAAGGACATTACAGGCTACTCTACTGACATTCACATGCGCACTGATGCTAACAATCTTGTGACTACAGCTAGTACTACTCATGTTCCTGAGCAACAGGAGACTATTCATATGATCCAAATGCTTAGGAAGGAAGCATGCTCTGGTGCAATTGCTGACTTGTCACATATACGCACTCAGTGGTGTCTCGCTGACTGTCTTACTAAGAAGTCTGCTAGTCCTCAAGCTTTGATAGATGCAGTACGCAGTGGTTGTTTAAAGGAAGTCGATGCACATCCACCTTTTAGATCTCTTATTGAACACAAGGCATATATGCGTGGATGGCTTCCTACAGTATGCACACATGTTGACTTTTCACATGATGTGTCTTATCTTGGAGATTCTTTGCACTGAGAGTGAGAGGAGAGAATTCAATGCATGTACTTTTGTTTGAGAGAAATTTGAATTTCTTTCATGAATTTGTGCCTGCGGCTCAAATTAGCTTGGCAAGATCAGCACTTTTCTTTCGAAGACTATTGCCTTGCATCGTTGACTACCTGTCATTTCTACAACTTAGGACACTGGCCTCTGACCGGTGTACTTTGTATCAACAGAGATGACCGGTCAGGGAGCGTCCAATATGGTCAACATCTTTGAGTATGCTCGAAACTGGTCACAAAAGGTTCCTTGGGGACAACCTCAGAACTGGGCAAACCGTTTGAGACGCCCACGTACGCCAGTTGAGTTCCATAGGAACTCAGAGCAGGATGAATTGATCTTAACCGACATTCTTGCAATGTGTTTGGCACCTGAGAACCATGCTAAGTTCAATTTTCGAGTACGGTGGTTCGCAGAGATTGCCAGATACGCTCTTGGCTATGTCACCCAAGAGGAAGAGGATGAATATGAGAGAAGTAGGCAGTTCGTGGCAACAAGAGTCGCGTGGAGACAAAACGATTATGGGAAGATAGCCACGGGGCTCAACTATATGCTACGACATGATCGTTCTCTCGATAGGTTGATGGACAGTAGGGCAATGATATAGAGCTTATGCCTCTGATCACAGAGGGAACTGCTCGAATGCCATCACCTTTTCGTATTTATCCTAATACTTTCTTTGCTATATTGCATAGCGATGAGAAGCAAAGATTTCATTTGGTGATTCGCTTGGACAAGAATGTTTGGTACAACACAGGCAATCAATACGATATGCCCTTCTCCATGCGTTTGGGAGTGAACCAAGGGCATACAGGACTCATGCAGAACATCAGCCCAGAGAAGTTGAATCATAGATTGACTTCTATTGAGGCAAGATGTTTGGGACATGTTTTTCATGTTACCAGAAGGGAGAACTGGGCCAGCATTGAGAGGTATGGTTTGATGAGAGACCCTCAAAGTTGGAATAGAAGGAACAGAGGTGAAGGAAGAGATTATGTTCATTTTATGTACAGCAATCCACAAACTTCACTCTACATTCCTTTAGGCCCAGGTACAGTGGTTCCAAGAGATTATGGACAGCCTT